ATGACCTGAGCTGAAGGCAGGTGCTTAACCGACTGAGCCACCCAGGCACCTGGAGATTCCACTCTTAAAAGGCTGGCATGCAGAATCACTCACCCCAGGATCCAATACAAAAGCAGCAGTTTTGAAAAAGCTCCAAGACTATATGTGAAGATTTGTTAATCTTAAAGCATCTGCTCGATGAGCAGGAACATGCTAGAACTCTCTCCTGGGATGGAGGCACTGGTGGGCACCATTTTTGCATTCTCCCTCTACCTTACTAGTGCCAGCACTGGTGGGCACCAGCTTTATACTCTTCTTCTAACCTGCTAGCACCAGTGTGTGAACCTTGCCCCTGCCCCACTCCTGTGGCCCCACCGAAGCACGGTGGCTGGACACCACATGCATGGCCCACAGAGGGGACGCCCCTTTAGTACCTGGCTCTGGTAGCCAGGGAAACAGCATTTCTGGGCCTCACAAAGCCTGAAACAATCAGAGAAAGTTCTTGGCAGGCTACCACCCTCAGGGCACTGCACAGACAGGAGACTGGAACACACCCTGTCTTCCTGTGGAGAAGACCTATTTACTAATCTTGGAGGAGCAGGCTTCAGGTTTACCACACATCTGTAGGATACGGAAATGCTCCTCGGGAACACAGGCCAGAGGACACCATCTTTGTGCTCTTCCTTGGTCTTGCTAGAGTGAGCCAATGCCTCCCACAAGGGAGCTCATGCACTTGTCTGGAGCCCCAACTTTTGCAACTGTCACCAAAGGGACACCTGTAGATCATCTGACCTCAAGGCCAGTAGGGCTTATGATTATGATCCAGTGGGACTGTATGTACTTGCATACCTTAAAAACTGCTGCCTTAGGATCTAGCCTCTAATTAGCCTGAAACTAGATTTGACTATCCTTCCTCTGGAATACTTATGCGTCTTGGCACACCCTCAAAAACGAAGTCTTACCAAGAATAAATCAGGCTACTTAGATAATGACAAAGGTCTGAGAGATAATGAAGAGCTAAAGGAAGGTTTGGGGAGCCTGGGTGGCTCAGTTGGTTAAGCGTCTGCCTTCTACTCAGGTCATGATCCCAGGGTCCTGGAATTGAGTCTTGCATTGAGCTCCCTGCTCAGCAGGGTGTCCGCTTCTCCCTCTCCCTCTGCCCGTCCGCCCCCGCTCATGCTCTCTCACTCTCTCTAGAGTAAATAAAATCTTAAAAAAAAAATTATCTTCAAAAAAAAAAGAGCTAAGAGAAGGTTAAATGATAAAGTTCTCCCTCAAGACTGGGTGAAAGAGCTACTCTGCCTAATACATAGAAACAAACAGAAAGAAAAAAAAGAAACAAATACAGAAAGTCAAGCAAAATGAAAAAACAGAGGAATATGTTCCAAATGAAGAACAAGACAAAACCCCAGAAAAAAACCTAATGGAACAGAGAAAAGTAATTCATGTGATAAGGAGCACAAAGTAATGGTAATAAAGATGCTTACTGAACTCAGGAGAAGAATGAATACACTGAGAACTCTAACAAAGAGAGAGAAAATATAAGGAAATACCAAACAGAAGTCACAGAGCTAGGGAATACAATACATATTCCAGGGATGTAAGGATATCAGCAAATCAACCAAAGTGATACACATCGACAAAATGAAGGATAAAAATTCTATGGTCATCTCAATAGACACAAAACATCTGACAAAATTCAACATCTATTTATGATAAAAACTCTCAACAAACTGGGTATAGATGGAATATATCTCAATAAAGGCCATATAGGACAAGCCTACTGCTATCATACTCAACTCTGAAAAGCTAAAAGCTTTTCCTTTTTAAATTTTTTTTTAAAGATTTTATTTATTTATTTGATAGAACACAAGCAGGAGGAGTGACAGGCAGAGGGAGAGGGAGAAGCTGGCTCCCTGCTGAGCAAGGAGCCCGAGGTGTGGCTCAATCCCAGGACCCCAGGATCATGACCTGAACTCAAGGCAGATGCTTAACCGACTGAGCCACCTAGGCGCCCCGCTTTTCCTTTTTTTAAAAAAGATTTATTTTAGGGGCACCTGGGTGGCTCAGTCGTTAAGCAGCTGCCTTCAGCTCAGGTCATGGTCCCAGGGACCTGGGATCAAGCCCCACATCGGGCTCCCGGCTCAGCGGGAGGCCTGCTTCTCCCTCTCCCACTCCCCCTGCTTGTGTTCCCTCTTTCACTGTCTCTCTCGGTGTCAAATAAATAAATAAAATCTTTATTTAAAAAAAAGATTTATTTTAGAGAGAGCACGTGAGTGGGGTGGGGAGAGGCAGAGGGAGAGGATCTCAAGCGAACTCCATGTTGAGTACACAGCCTTACTCCAGCCTTAATCCCATGACTCTGAGATCATGACCCGAGCCAAAATCAAGAGTCACATGTTCAACCAACTGAGCCACCCAGGCACCGCAAAAGCTTTTCCCATAATATCAGGAAAAAGAATACCCACTCTCACCACTTTTATGTAACATAGCACTGGAAGTCCTAGCCAGAGCAATCAGACAGGAAAAAGAAGTAAAAGGCATCCAAATTGCAAAGGAAGAAATAAAACTGTCACTATTTGCAGACAACATGATTTTATATATATAAAAAAAATCCTTAAGTTTCTACCAAAAAACTATTAGAATAAACAAATTCAGTTAAGGTTCTGTAAAGTAAAAAATCAATATACAAAAATGTCATGTTTTTATACCCTAACAAAATAGCAGAAAGAGAAATTAAGAAAGCCTGGGTGGCTCAGTCATTAAAGCCTGCCTTCGGCTCAGGTCATGATTGAGTCCCACATTGAGCTCCCTGGCGGGAAGCCTGCTTCTCCCTCTCCCACTCCCCTTGCTTGTGTTCCCTCTCTCGCTGTGTCTCTCTGTCAAATAAATAAATAAAATCTTAAAAAAAAATAAAAAATAAAAAATAAAATGCCTAGGAACAAACTTAACCAAGGAGGTGAAAGGCCTGTATACTGAATATTATACAAGACTTTGATGAAAGAAATTGAAAAAGACACAAATAAATGGAAAGATGTTCTATGCTAATAGATTGGAAGAAATAATGCTCTTAAAGTGTCCATATTACCCAAAACAATCTACAGATTCAACACAATCCCTATCAACATTTCAAAGGCATTTTCCACAGAATTAGAACAACAATTCTAAAATTTGTATGGAACCGTAAAAGACACTGTGTGGACCTGCGTTCGCGAACATTCCCAGTTCAGTACCACATCCAAGCATACTTCATGCTGCTTCTTGTAACTGGAAAACCTTCCTTACTTCATCCTACCGGGTTCCAGAAACAGGAAGTGCTCCATACAACTCCTGGTCTCGATTAAGGGCCTTGGGCCAAGAGCGACTCGCCTCCAGGAGCCCGAACTCAGAGGCGGGCGGGGGGAGAGCGAGAAGCTCTAGGTCACAGGATCCTCTGTATCAGGGCTGAGACCAGCAGGGCGAGGGTCCCAGCAGCTGGCGTCCGCCGGCCCCGCGAACTGGGTGGGACCGGTTGGGCCCTTCGACTTCAGTCCACTCCCATCTTGCCAGGCCCCAGGCCGGACGTGACCACGGCGGACCGCACTCCCAGCCTCAGCGGCTCTCCCCTAAGAGGCACTCGAGGCCGGGGGTGCCGCCTCCGGGCACCCGGAGGACGGAGGACTGTGCGGGGCCAGGGTAGGGTCGCTGCTCACACAAAAGCGCAGAGGTGGGTCCCACTCTCCTTCCTTCCCCCTGTTCAGCCAACAGGCACAGACCCGCCACAGCCTCTGTGACATCATCAGAAGTCCCGCCACCACTCCTGCAGGGGAACACCTCACTCCCGGGTTGTCACTGGACGAGTGACTGCCACCCACGCGCGAAGCACAGCCTGCCGGGTAATGTAGTTTCCGTCTTGCACGTGAACAGGTCAGGATGGGCCTTTCCCATTCTCCACAACCTTGGCCCAACAGGCCCGTGAGGCACCTTGGGAAATACTGCTCTAGGGCTCCAAACACAAGGACCGTGCCCACGTTTCTGTGGCCACCTTGGGTGAAGCCCCAACCTGGGAGAGCTGTAATAGGAGACTTCTCCTCAGTGGCCTTAGGCAAGCCTCCTCAACCTCCGAGGGAAAAAATATGCTTAAAAACCATAAAATAAAATAAGTCCTGGGGATGAAATGTGCAGCATGGTAACTATGGTTAACAACACTACATAAAAAAATAACATTTAAAAGGCTTAAAAATAGGTGATATGGAGATAACTTGCGGCGTATTGTGTACTAACGTTAAATAGTGCTCTAATCCAGTGGTTCCCAAACCAGTAGCATTAGCATCACATGGGAGTATGTTAAAAATGCATCCAGAAGGGCCCCAGTCCATGCCTGAGCCTGCAGCTAAATCCTGGGGAGGTGTGTGCAAACTGAAATCACTGAGGCTGGAGAAGATATCCCTGTGGAGGAGCACAAATGAGAAAACATAATGAAGATACAGTTTCATAATAACTTCTGCCTGTATTTCATTGCCCCAAACTCATTTACATGGCTCATGTAAATGAAGCTGTATGTCCACAAAGGGAAAACTGGATTGGAGAGCATCTACCCACTTTCTAGTACAATTCATCAGATATCCATTTTATTATTCTTCCTACGTATTCAACATTACTACCCTTTGGGTGATAACCCAAAACTCCATGCCTCCATCTTAATGTTAATATTTATATATATATATTTTTTAAGATTTTATTTTTAAGTAATCTCTACACCCAACCTGGGGCCCGAACTCAGAACCCTGGGATCAAGAGTCTCATGTTCTACTGACTGAGTCAGCCAGACACCCCTAATACTTCTATTCTTAAGACCATACACAAAGTGAGTTACTTGTTGCCACTCATTCCCTATATAATTATGGTTCTGACACTGTAGAAGGACCTATTCAAGGATCTGCTGAAGAAAAAAACCATGCCAACCTAGATTTCTATATATATCAAAATTGTCTTTCAAGAAACAATACAAAATAAGACTATTTCAAACCAAAAATGAGGAATTTAATGGAAGATTAACACACACAAAATGAAATCCTAAAGGTTATATTTAAGAACTTTGGAAAGTAATCTCAGATGAAATATTTACAATGATAGAAGGAATGAGGACCCAAGAGGGGAATGCATATGTGGATTGATACATCTGCTCATTATTTGCATTAAACATGAATAACATTTCCTTTTGCAGTCAGATTGATGGAATTAACATGCATAATCTCAACGCATATACTGAGATAGAGGATACTAGTTAAACTTCCAAGTCCGTTATTTTGCCTGGGAAGGAAGAAAAGCATTGATAAGTCTGTGCTCTACTGTTTTTAAGTAAGTGTTTGTAAATTTTAGCTTAAACAATAACAAACAGAATAAGCTTTTTAAACTAGAATTTTTAAAAAATCTGGATTGTAAGTAACAGTTATTTTTTTTAAGGACCGGAAAAAGAACAAGTGAGGCAAAGAAAGCCACAAAATAAGAGGATGTATTTAAACCCAAATATGTAAAATATTACATTACGTAAGTATGAAATAAATTAACAGTCAGTACTTTTTGATGGTTAAAACCTCCCTTCACAAGATACTTAATCTTCATCAATAAATTTCAAGGGCAGGTTTTGAATTTCCATTCAAAGAACAACTAACATTCTCTGGCATCCTCAGCCACCCCATCTCCACCAGGGAAAGACACCAGGGGGCAAAGAACGTCCTGGCGTTGGTTGCTGGGGAACCAAGACCTTACGCTGAGGGTCACCAGAATTTATGATCAAACATCTTAAGGTCTAAAATCAGCTGAGACGTCATCAGGACCTGCAGTATATTTTTACAAACAAATCCTATCAGCACATCTCCTGATGAGAAAGGAATAGGATGGCATGAAGGGGTAACATTAGTGAAAATAATTTTAACAACAGCTAACATTTAAGAATATCCACAAAGCTGACACCAGGTACTTTTCAACGCTATCCTTTAACCTGCATAACCACTTGGTGAGGTGCATCAGTCAACAGTCTTGTTTCGTAGGTAATGAAGCTGAGACTCACAAAGGATATTAGCTCATCCAGTTTACCGAGGAAGAAACCAAGAACCCAAAAAGTCCCTGAGTTGTGCTGTCATGGCCACTAGTAAGAAGCACAGCTGAGAAGGGTGCTCATCAGCCCTGCATGGCTTCCTGCCCAAATTCATCCAATCTGGGCAGGGGCAGGGCCAGGGCCAGGGCCCCTCAGCATCACAGAAATAAAGTCATGGCAAATTCACTGCCCATGTGACCATCAAGGGGAGAAGGAGCTCTGCCTTTTTCTGTCCAAGAAAGGTAATCTTCAGCTTCGCTTGCTCACTCAACACACTAGGTGCTGACTGAAAACCTGGAACACAAGGACAGGCCATGTCACATTCCCATGGATGCAAAGGGCTCTCTCTTGAGGACTGAGGAGGGAAAGTCATTCCCTGGGGCTCACCCATCATCCTAATTATGCACATGTCCTGTTGGCTCTGCCTCCTAACATGTCCCAAGTCATCTTCTCCCAAACCAACTCCAATGCCACCATCATGGGCCAGTCCAATAACAATGTACCCCTGGACCACCCAGTGGCCTCATCTCTCTCTCCCATATCAATTATTCCCTCTTCAGTACACATTCCACACAGCAGCCAAGGGCAGATTTAGAGACAAGATCATGCCACTGCCCTGCTGAATCCCTTCCTCAGCCTCCCAGAACAGTCAGAATAAAACCCACAAAGCCCTGTGCATCTGGCCCCGTTCTGTCCCATCTCACTGCTTACCACTCATGTCCTCCAGACACACTGTTTCCTCTAATAAGGCCAGTTCTTGCATGCCTCAGGGTCTTGGTACATGCTGTTCCCTTTGCCAAAAATGTTCTTTCTCATCTTCGAACATAGCTGGTGCTCCTCCATCCTTCATGGGTCTGCATGATATAACCCTTTGGTACTGTCTGCTCCTCTGCCCATGCTTTACAGTTTAACGTTCATCTTCCCACTTTTACAAGAGAGGCCTGTGGGGAAGTGACATGACTGAGGTCACCCAGGTGGTGAGGGGCACAGCTTGGAAGTGCTCGAATTCCAACTGTCCTGAGGGCCCAAGCCTTTAGTCACTGGACCACTCTTCCCAAAGGACATCTGTCCTCCATGCCTAAGTTTTGACCCTGATTAGGCCACACAGGGACCACAGGCACAGTATTGTCTAGCAGCAGAGTTGCCATACCACACGTCTGTATTACCATGTGTTTTTCCTTCTAGACAGCAAGGCCCAAGTCTCAGTCACCCATGTATTTCCATGACACAAGGCACATGCGGGGTAATGGGCACGAAGGATGGGCTTCTCGTGACTCCTGCCCATCATACCAGCAAGAGCACAGCAGGGCCCTGTAAACACAGAAAGCTGGATGGGGAGACATGGACCATGAGGGAAGGTGGCCCTTCAACGACTGCAAAGCACATCACTTCTGCTTTGGGACAAACCGAGGCCGAGGTCGCTGTGCAGGCCACATGACAGCAAAGCACTCTCAGGCATGGAAAGAAGGTCCCTCTGCTGAGAACCACGCTGTGTTTTGGGAGAGTGGCCTCTAGTCTCTGTGGTGTCAGCACTCAGCCGCAGGTGAAGGTAATGCTACAGCCATAGCACAGAACTGTGCACATGAAGGAGGACACGGTATGCAGGGGAGCCTTGGATGTGAACTCTCAGATGCCAAGTTACATCTTCCCTCCGGTCAAACAGTTTGCCACTGTAGTTACTTTAAGAAGGTCTCTTTAAGAAGAGCTCAGTATGAGTTCTCTGATGCTGACTGAGGCCTGCCTTCTGGTCAAAGACCTTCCCACATCTCTTACACTTGTAGGATTTTACTCCACTATGAATCTTCTGATGAGTGGTGAGGGTTGAGCTGTAGCTGTAGGTCTTTCCACACTCATTGCACTCATAGAGCTTCTCCCCAGAATGACACCTCATGTGTCGAGTTACAGAAAAGCTGTTACAAAAGGCTTTCCCACATTCTTTGCACTCAAAGGGTTTTTCTCCAGTGTGGGTTCTATTATGCCGAATAAAATCAGAGTGGCGGGCGAAGGCCTTTCCACATTCACTGCACACATAAGGCTTCTCTCCACTGTGAATCCGCTGGTGCTCCGTGAGGTGTGACCTGCGGCCGAAGGCCTTCCTGCATTCGATGCACTCATAGGGCTTCTCCCCAGTGTGAATCCGCTGGTGTTCTGTGAGGTGTGACCTGCGGCTGAAGGCCTTCTCACACTCAATGCACTCATAGAGCTTCTTCTTAATGTGAATGCTGTAATGTCCAGTGAGATCTGCCTTCCTGAGAAAGGCCTTCCCACACTTTTTGCATTTATAGGATTTTACTCTAGTGTGAATCCACTGATGTTGAAGAAGGAAGTGATTCTTGATAAACTCTTTCCCACATTCCTTGCATTTGTAGGATTTCTTCCCTCCATGAATCAAGGGGTCTCTCCTTGATCTATGTGATTCACACTCAAGGAGAGCATCTCCTGGAGAGACTTGCTCCTGTAAATCTTTTGGGCACAGATTTTTACCTGTTCCCAAATCATCACATTCAGGGTTCACCTTTCCAGGGAGGGTTTCCTTGTAGGGGACTGTCCCTGCCCTTAGGTGCCCTCCCTGTTTTTCCGATGGTCTTTCTTGTTCCCCGGCTTCTCCCAATGTGGAAACACTGGAGTCGTCCTCAGTCAGTAACCTGTGGGGTGAGCATCCCTCAAACAAGGCTGGCTGAGAAGCAGAAAGCTCTGTGGTACTGGTTTTTGCCTTGTCATCTGAAGGGAATCCAATACACAAGAGTCCCATTAACAATGCCAACACAGAAGGAACAAAATCACCAAGCCAGTGGGAAAAGGAAGATGGAAACAGGGCCACTGACAGCTGCTGGATTTTCACATCTCTGAAACTCAGGTTTGGTTGTTTTTGTTTTTGTTTTTGTTTTTGCTGGTCCTTGGATTCTTGACATCTTTAAAGGGACAACCTTGGGGAGAATTTCAGGTAGGGGCCAGAGAAGAATCCCTTCCTTACTATCCAGAGGGGAGAGGAATGATGATACCATGTGCTGTGTTTGTTCTAAGAAAGGACGTCACAGGGAACACAGGGAAGGGGGCATCTAACCCAGCCCAAATGAGAGAGAAAGACAACTGGGAGGGGTCTTGAGATCGGAGTCCTAACGAAGCAAGAGTTACCACATAGAGAAAGTGAGAGGGTCCTGCAGCCAAAGGAGGCAGAGTATACAAAGGTGCAGAGTCTAGAGAGAATCTTGGATGCTGAGGGAACTTCAGAGCATGAGAGGATGGCGGAGATGTGGCTGGAGATGCAGACAGGGTGCAGACTCCAGAGTTTGGAAGGGTGAGAGTAAACACAGCCATTGCCACTCCCAGGACAGTGTCTACAAGGCTGAGGGTGAGCAGGACTTGTCAGGGGGACATATTAAATCTACTGTGTGTCAGAACAGCTAGGTGACTAAAACACAGACAAAAGCTGGTAGAGAAATTTGAATTATTTACTTCAAGTATTAAAGAGAAGCTGTACAAATGGAGAAGTTAATAACAAGGTTGTCAACTCTCCTCAAATCTATCTGTAAGTTCATCACCAGTCCAGATAACATGATTTTCCATGAAACTCAACAAGCTGATTCTAGAATTTATATGCAAGAGTTAAGGGCTAAGAATATCACTGAAAAAAGAATAATAAGAGAAGGGGCTTGCCCTCCCAGTATTAGGGTTATGATGAAAGTAGAGACATCAAGACAGCATGGTGTTGGCACAGACATAAGGAAAACTGGCAACAGGACACAACAGTGCTCAGAAACAGACTCATGAATACATACAGCTTTCACAGACTGCAGAGGTGGTACAGCAGATCAGTGGGAAAAGAAGGGACTAAATAACCAACGGAGCTGAAAAACTGGTAACCCACATGCAGGAAAAAGTTCTTGCATTTCTACCGCATGTCATACACAAAGCTAATTCCAGATTAGTAAGCAACAGAAAAAGAATATAATTTGACCTTGGTGTGAGGAAGATTTCCTAGCAAGACATGAAAAGCAGTAATCATAAAACAAAAGATAAATTGATCTGACTAAATAAAATATGCATTTCTTTTAATCAAAAGATGCTTTAAAGAAAATTTCTAAAAAGCTAAGCTCCAATAGAATACAACCGCAGCACACATAATGGGTAAAAGATTAGTATCAGGAATATACAAAAAAAAATCTGACAAATCAAAAAGGGAAGAGCAACCATCTTGGTGACTCCTGATGGAGACAAAGGGAGAGCAGGCAGGAGGAAGTGAGCCCAGAACATGGCAGGGACCATGGAGAGGACGGCACGCTGCTCCAAAGGCCTTTTCCACCAGCCAGGCCTCAAAAGACAGGAAGAAACCAAGAAGGAGGCTGCATGTCCCTGCATGGAGGGGAGGAGAAGACTTACCCAGTGAGACCAGAAGCCTGCAGGTCTCCCTCATCACCTTCCAGTACAGTGTCCTCTGGGGCAGGTCCAGTAATTCCCACTCCTCCCGAGTGAAGGTGACAACCACATCTTTGAAGGTCACCGGTGCCTGGAAAGGCAAACACAGTAGCATTATGTGCTCTACGGCTGTTGGGTGGGATCAGAGCCTGTAACTTAGTCTCTGGTGAAGGTGCACAGAGGTCCAGCCATGAATCACTAAGGCTTCTTGAGGGCCAAGCTCTGAGCTGGACTTAAGGGGGAGGCAGCTATGGCTGACAGAGATGCCCTCCATGGTGGAAACAATGGAGAATGACACGGACGTGGGAGCAGATGGTAAGTGATCTGGGACATAAGAGGAACAGGGAAATAATCATGATGATAATTCCAACAATAAGAACAGCAGCAGCAAAGCTGAGCCTCCCTCGTCCTTCCCATGTGCCTGCCCTGGACAGTGGGCTTCACGTGCTGTGGGAAAGGGATTAAATGTCCACAGCTCTGGAGCAGACTCCCAAGTTTGGATTCAACCCCTTGAATCAACACTTGGCCTGCTGTGTACCTTGGGGAAGCCATTTAATTTCTCTGAGCCTCAATCTCCCCTGTCAGTATAATAATTCTCTCACTTTATCAGGTTATTTGAGAATCCAAGGGAAAACATTCATAAAGCCAACACTAGAGTCTCTGGCTCATGACAGTGCTCTGTACATTTATTCATCCTCCCATCACCATGAAGATAAATGCCATCATCAGCTCCACATCACGTCTGAGTTGAGGCTCAGGGAGCTATAGTGAGTCACCTGAGAGTTCCCAGCCTACACAGCAGAGGTAGGATGTGAACCTACATCCTTCCGGCCCAGGTCTGTAGTAACCCTCACACTCTTCCATTACTGCAGGTGAAGTCCTTCTTTTTTTTTTAATAAAGATTATTTATTTGAAAGAAAGAGAGATAGTGGGAGAGCATAAGCAGGTGGTGGAGGGAGTGGCAGAGGGAGAAGGAGAAGCAGACTCCCCACCAAGCAGGGAGCCCAATGCGGGGCTCGATCCCAGGACCCTGGGATCATGACCTGAGCCGAAGGCAGACGCTTAATGACTGAGCCACCCAGGCGCCCCAGGTGAAGCACTTCTAATGACTGTTGCTGTTAATCTACTTTTAGATCCCTGACCACACTTCCATGGACATGGACAGAGGATGGGAGCCATCCTCACCCTCCTCATGGGAGAGGCACTGAAGGGGGCGCCACTCATTCTGAGAGTGCCAGGGCCTGGGCCAGCTCCCCACACCCACTTGGGTCCCCCAGCCTTCTCAGGCTCCCCAGGAGATTCCACAGTGAGCTATCAGTCAGTTTTCCCTTCCTGAGTCCTGACAGCATGTGTCCTTGAGTCACGAATACCATAAGGACCAGGGAACCCACGTGGGTGAGAACAATGCCACTGAGGCCAGAAGAACTGGCAGCCTCCGACTGGCTGTGATGTGTGTCCTGGGTGAGGGCGAGGTGAACATCCAGCAAATGACCACACATGCTCCCCTTCCCAAGACACATCTCAGCGGGGGGGGGGGGGGGGGGCATGGCAATCACAAGGTCCTCTCGTGCCTCCTTAAACTCTGTCCTCACTGCCTCTGTCCACGAGGGCACCCATCTGGGATGGCTCCTTCTGCCCTCCTGTTCCCAAGCTCACCTGAAGGAGAAAGCCCTGCCCACCTTACAAAGTTTAATATAGGTGTCATCCTCAGGCCTCCCCAGCCCACTGTGGTTGGGAACAAAGGCTCTGGTAGCTAATGGACAGTATGTGAGTTTCAACTACTTAAGAGCTGTGTGACCTTGGGTAGGTAACTTAACGTCTCTGACCCCTAGTTCCTCTTCTGTAAAGCAGGGATGATAACAGAACCTAACTCTGAGGAGACGGGAACTGAATGAGATGAAACATAATAACTGTCCCTCAAAGCACATCAAGGGCTCAGTGAAATCCAGCTATTACCATTGTTTGGTTATGATTATTTTTCCTCCTCGCTCCTCAAGCACCCTGGAAAATCTCAACCTGGCACTCACCTCTGCACAAAAATGCTAGCTCCCAAGCATGCATGTACTGGGGTACTTTAGCTAGAACTAGAAAGATGAAGAAGTGGCATTTGAGCAGAGGCCTGAGGAATGCACAGGGATGCCCTGCAGAGTTCGAGAGACACTGTCCTGGGCAGAGGGAACTGGCAAGTGAGCAAGAGCTTGGCAAGTGGAGGATGGCATAGCTGCAGAGCCGGGAGATGGGGAAGAAAGGAAAGGAAGACACGTGGGTGGACACAGAGCAGTTGCAGACACAGGTGCAGCAGGCCATGGGGGGAGGGGTTTGAACGTAGATTCTAAGTGTGATGAGAGCCCACTGAGGGGAGTCTCATTCTCCAACTAGCTAATGAGGTCCTGTCACAGCTCTGGTGCTGTTATAGGCCTGGCGACAGAGCTTCAAAGAGGAATCACAGCCCCCGTTGGAGAAAGATCCCCAACAAGGACTAAATAACTGAACAAGATGATGCAGATGGCCTTAAGAGTTCTGAGGCCAAGAAAAAAAGGGACAAGATTAGAGAGATGGGGTCATTTCAGAAGGAAAGCTGGGGACGACCTTGCTGAAGACGGGCACTGGCACGGCTGGAATGAAGGGAGGGGGACACGTACTGGAGAGAAACCCAGGGTCTGTTGTGTGTTTACATCCAAATGCACACTGCCACCACTGAATCTTTAATGCATCTACTTTTCACATAAAAGTAAATGTCTTATAAGTGGCAAGCCAGCTTTACTTGCAATAAACGGATGGCAAATACAAAGATGAATCCAGTAACCTTCTTGGCTCCCAGTGCCCAAGGGCCCCTTCCTTTTCTTTCTTTATAAAGATTTTATTTATTTGTATGACAGAGAGAGAGAGCACAAGCACGGGAAGCAGCAGGCAGAGGGAGAGGGAGAAGCAGGTTCCCCCCTGAGCAGGGGGCCTGACACGGGGTTCGATCCCAGGACCCCGGGATCATGACCTGAGCCGAAGGCAGACGCTTAACCGACTGAGCCACCCAGGCGCCCCTCGAGGGCCCTTTTCATCCTAGCAGAGAAGCAGTGATTCCAAAAATATTGCTCCCACTGTGAGTCTGCCCCTAGGCGCTCTCTTCCCCTAGTCCTCGGCTGGATACAAGCCTGAGACAGGGGAAACCCCAGGGCAGGATTCCCCTGGGGTAAGTCCCTAAGATCATCACAAGACAAGGGGCTCTGCTCCCTTAGAACAGTGTCCAGAGTGATGCTACCTGGGCGGTGTTGGACATTGGAGGACATACATCACACACATGCCTTCTCTGACCCCCTCAAGCCAAGGGGAGGAAATGTCAATATGCCCATGGAACCCAAGAGATGGAAGACAAAGGCACTGATCAGACTTACTCAAGGTCACAGCCCTGGGAAGGGCATAGCCAGCATGGCCCCTGAAGTCTCTACATTGTTAAATGAGCTTTCCTGAAGCTCAGTTCATTCAGACGGTGCAGGGACGGGAGGATTCCGAGAAACCCCATTTCTCTGTCGCCCACACTGCCATAAGGAGAAGACCAGGGCAAAGGCCTCCTTGGACCCCTGAGATCACAGAAATGAATGGCCACGACCAGCATTCACTGGGCATTCCCTGCATGCGCTGTGCTGTTTTTCACACTCTGCCTCCCACGTCTGCCACCAGGACCCAGAGGGAAGACACTGCGATTAGCCCATGTCACAGCCAAGGAAGCTGCCTATCCCACTGCGGTGCAGTGGCAGAGCCTGGAGCTGAACCCAGGCGGTAGGCTTTGTAACTCGTTCTGCACACCTTTGGCACATGCCTCGGCTGCGAGGGTGGCTGTGGGTGACACGGGAACAGAGAATTCCAGGTACGATGTGGGGGTTGCAGGGAGCCTTCTCCCTGCTCTCCCTGCCTCCTCTTACCCCTGCCTACCCTCCACTCTACAGCTAGAAGCAGCCTATTAACTCAACACAAATCACGTTCCTCCTCGCCTCCAAATCCTCCATGGCTCCCACCAACCTCCAAGAGGCCCGGTTCCTCAGCCTGTCAGTCCAGACCTGACTCCCACCTTGGCGCGGTCTGTTCCCACCAGGCGAAACGGAGAGCTGCGGGTCTGCCCAGCTCAGCCTCACCTCCTCGCGCTTGCGCCTCTTGGCGCATGTGCCTGGGACACCCTCCACACCTCACTGACTGACAGAGCTGGGAGCCCTTCCGTATCAAGGCGGGCCCCGGACGAGACCCAGGACAACACTACCCTCCATACGGAGGTGCTGGGACTGCGTGGTTGGGGTCCACAGGGCCTGAGGGGTCATCCACTCACCTGTGCCGGGTCCATCCGCTCCTCTGCTGCCTCCGTGGCACGCTGCGCGTGGACTGAGGGCCACGAAGAGTGGGAGGCCAGGGAGGGTCCCAAGGGCTCTGCTGACCCGCCCCACACACCCTCGGCCCTGCCTCGGTGCAGAGGGGACACGACGCCTCTTCTTGAGCCTCGCTGGCCGGCGGCCTCACGCCCACCGAGGGTCCCGCAGCCGTAACCTCGCGAGCAGGCCCGGGAGCACGCAATACAAGCTCCACGAGCACGGCGCCGTAGGTCTCGCGGGACGCGGGATCCCAGCCCTGTGCCGTGATTGGCCCAGCACTACCGCCTCTTGCCGCTGAGCCTGCTGGGTAATATGGCTCCTGCCGCTCCGCCTGTAGTCCCAAAGAGCATCCTTCCAGAAATCACCTCAAAGGACCAGCGGCGCCTGCCTGAGGGCCTCTGGGAGTGACGTCATCACGCTCTGGGGGTGGGGCGAGGCCTCTTCCCTTCCTAACCGGCACCACCCCGTTTCTGGGGCACAGCTTCTCCGATTGCAAGTGCTTCGGGGTGTTGTTTCCTGTGTGCCCCAAGTTTAGGCTCCCGGAGGGACATGGCGGTCACACCCAGAGAGTCCGCCCCTCCAAGATTAGACCTAATAAGCGCTGTCTTTGCTACTCCTCAGTTCTAGGGAGACTGAAGTTTTGAGAGTCAATTCTGTGGAATTCGATAATGGTCAGAGATGACGGAGAAAAACTACGTCCGGGGCGCAGGTTGAGGGGGGAGAGGGCAGAACTATC